CAGGCAGAAATGCAAAGTGGCAACAAGCCATAGCAATAACAAATCCTGGAGAGGGGAGATCTGATTGGAGTATCTTGCCTATTTTAACTATTTCTCTTTCAAACTTCTTGAAGAATGATAGTCACTTAATTCTTAATGTGACAGATAATGGGAAGAGGAAGGAGAAAACGAGTGGTGGAAATAAACTGGAGTGCTGATCAGAAATTTCCAAAAACTAATGAAATATTAATTTACATATCCAAGAAACTCAAGGGGATGATAAGCTAAAGGAGAGACAAAACTAAACACACCATAATCCATCTGTTGGAAATCAAAGTGAGTGTTCTTTAAATGGCAAGGAAACTGACATGTGCTATGGAAGAAATGTTAAATAAGAGTTGATTTGTCATCAGGAAGCAAGGGGTCAAAATTATGCAAGGGTGAAAAATTTACAAGAAAGACTATCAGCAAAGCATTCTACATCTAGCAAAGCAATCCTTTAAAATATAGGAGAATTAAAAAAAAAAAAGACACTCCAAGTAAATAAAAACTGTGAGAATCTGTTGTTGGCCAACCTTCCTTCCCTACAAGATACAGTGACAAAGGAGAATTCAGTACCTCCATAAGTTTGCCTTCAGCAACTAACATCAAACCAGCAGACCAACAAGGAACCAAAGAACTTAGGCAACAACGCACACTAAGACCTAACAAACATCTATAGAATACCTATAGATATTACATTAGTAATAAAAATATTGCCATAAAGTAAAGCTCAGATCTAATTAAAAGTCAGTAACATTCCCTCACAAACTCTTCCCCAAAATACTAGTGGAAGGAACACTTCGCAATTCATTCTAAATGGCTCATAACCAAAACCAAATCTATCTCAACAAAACTAAACTAGTATTAAAGAGTAGTTAAAAATCCACAGCCCATAGAAATGTAAAATTTACATATCATAAGCACCTGAATTATTTGAGAACTAGATGGCTGGCTCAACAGCGAAAAGTCATGTGACATACTGTATTAACAGAACGAAAGGAGGAGAAAGGCATCTCAATGGACACTGGAAAAGCATTAGATAAAGCCCAGATATGCATGCCATCAAGATAAAAATGTTCAACAAAGCATGAACAGAAGAGAATCTCTTCAGATTGGTAAAGAAAATATGTTTAAAAAACCAAAACAACAAAACAAAACAATACCATTCTTGACATTAAAAGATGAATATTTCCCCTTAATATCGGCTTCTATTCAACACCACGCCAAAAGATGTAGCCATAGCAATTGTGCAAGAAAGTAAACTATACAGATTGAAAAGGAAAAAGTAAAACTATCTGTTCTCAGATGACATAAAGTATAAATAGAAAATCCTAAGATCTAAGGAAAAAGTTGAACAATCATTTGCATAACAATGGAGTTATTCATGGCTGTATCAAAGCTTACAATAAAGGAGGACAGTAAGCCAAGGGGCCATGACTTTTATAAAGTATACAGAAAGGGATCAGTGAAAAGGAGCTGATTCAGCTTAGTGGCCCAAGTATGAAAATAGCAACTTAGAAATACTTGATTCAGAAGTGACAATGAAGAGTGAGGACAAAGAATCTCCCATCTTCAAACGGGAAAATACTAGGACTCCTAGAAAATAAGAATCTCACCTATAAAAATGCTACTGTAAAAGAAATACATTTAGGTAAGTGCTAGACTTGTTGTAATTAGGGGCATAACCACAAGGAGGACAAGGCTGTAAGTTTGTTAGGGTAGAGAGAACACCATATGGCATAAAAGTTTTAGGAAAGGGGGGCTCTTGGGAGAAAATAGGAGTGGAATAAGCTGGGGTAAAAGAAAAAAGTGGCATTATGATGAGAATATCAGAGAACATGGATCAGTAATGCCCCAACAGGCCTAAGTTATGGCTAAGACACACTGCTATCGTGAACTGTGGTAACAACAGTGGTTAAGCATGAAAAGAAAGGGGACCAGTACTCGAGTTAAGGAACAGGAAGAGGGACGTGTACACCTGATACGAAAAAGATCTTGAGGTTTCTACTCTCAAACTCTTTAACACTTTAAGGTGAAGACAGAAAATGACAGTTCCAAGGCTTGCTGTGGAAGGTGTCTTTTTGTGAGACACATCCTGTAAATAGCTCTGGCATACCTGGAAAAGCCAGGACAAACACAGAAGCTTGAAGGTAAAATGAACCAGTCAACCTATGAGTCTCAGCATTATCAGCATTACCACTCACTCCTTAGAAAACTCTATGCCCAGTAAGTCAGATTACAACCTGAAGAACACTGTGTGCATCTCTCTCCCCTCGCTACCAACCACTAGGAACTGACAATTCACAGTTACAAGTGTCTTAAAGTCTATAAACTCTGAGGGGGATTTGTGATCATGTTTTGGGGAAATGTTGTATGTTTTCTAACTTCTGCGAAATCACAATTTATATAAAAAGGCATACTGCAGCCACCATTTAAACAATTTAATTTGTTCATTCTTTTATTTATCTGACCTGTTAATACGTAGAGAATTAGAGTTTAGGGTTCTGGACTTTTGGGGGACGAGGGGTGTACTTTCTAACTTTTCTGATAGATGATTACACTCAGCCTTAGTTGGACCATTTCTAAGGACAGAGACAATTACCTCCATGTTACCCATTCATTTCTGATAGGCTGAGTAATGTCTCCTTTATGCTGAAATTTGCCTCCCTTTATCTTTAACTGCAGATATGATAGTCTATTGTCTAGAGTTATATTCATGTCACTCATTCTTCCAAATCAACAAGAAATACAGCTACAGTAAACTTGAAGAGTGGGTGTCTGAACATGCCAGACTCGACCACACAAACTCTGCAACTCTCTTGTGCCAAGCTGAGTGCTCACTCCTCTCCTTCAGACACTATACTACCCTTGGCAGTCTCTAGTCAGACCTGCAGACTGATTCAAAAGTAACCACTTATTCTGTGCTATCCTAGGTAAGACTACAAACAGAAAGAGCTGCTGAGTGTCCATGGCATCCCTTTTCCATCCCTTTATTAGGCACACATTGTCACAGCTTGTCTCCACAGACTCTTATACTATTCATATTTGTATGAAATGGAACATGCACAAGTCTTTTCCTATCTTCCATGTTAAGATGTCTACTATTAAGCTGCATCAGTGCAAATTCTTCCTATCATCTTTACTACAATAGCCCAAGAAGTCATTACCAATCCACAACTTTCACCTCTTGTACTATCTCCAAATTCATACCAGCTTAAGACTGTAGGGTCCTGTATAATATATAGACTACCAATGAGTATTTATTAAGTGAATGAACAAATTTTAAAAATAAGCATTTTTATGGTTTGAATATGACATGTCTCTCATAGGCTCATGTTGTGTTTATTTGTTCCCAGATGGTAATGATATTCTGGGAGGCTGGAGAATGTAGGAGGAGGGGATCTGGTAGAAATAAATGTTTATGGCTAAGCTGTTGAAGTTTATACCTGGTAGTTAGCTCCAGGCTCACTCTTGGATTCCTAGTTTGCAGTAATGTGAGGAACCTCCATCACATGTTCCTAACACCATGAGCTGTTTCGCCTGCCTCTCCTGCTATGATAGACTCAAACTCTCTGGACAAAACAAACCTATCCCCTCTGTTAGCTGTTTCTGTTAGGTACTGGAGTAACCATGAAGCAAAAGTAACTGATACTGAACTGCTTATGACTTACTTAGGCTTCCTACACCTGCCTTAATTTATTTCAAAGACATATCAAGATTAGAGAAGCACGATCGCCATTAGTAGTGATGAAGATGATCTTTACATCGGGCTCCTGCCTGACAGGATCAACTCTCTGATGCCTTGAAGAAGTACTGCATGAATTCTTCCAGACTGCCCAATTATATCCTTCTATTTATTTACTCCAACAGAAGGTTTTAATTGAATCCCATTTTTCCTAATTCAGTAAAGAATATTTTATTAGACTAGAATTTGTTCAGCAAAGACAGAAAAACGTAACAAAGAAGAACTAAGAAAGTTACTGTTCCACTCAGGACATGTCCAGTGTATGTCCCAAGTACTCTTCTTAGAACACACATATGACAACTCCCTCTGCACTTGGCCTATAAGGTGAACAAATCCAAGAGAAACAAATTCTCCATCATATGCACACTCTGTATCTGGTACCAACAGGCCAAGCTTTGCTTTCTTTTGCTACAAGGACCCTAAGCAACACTTTGTTTCTTATTTTAGAAGGTACATAGGACCATATGCTTCCCCTCCATTATTTCCTCATCTCAGTTTTATTGTTTGCACTACAATATGCTTCAGGATAAACATAAACCCCTTGTGGAACAAGATATTCAAAAAAATTTTAATTAAAAAAAAAAGTCATTGCTTACCACAAACCAGGTACGGTACTAGCGCATTTATCCTGATCCATGAATACTCACAGAAAAGTGTTTTCAAGCCTGTTCACAAATGTTAGACTGAAGACTGTAGTGTGCAGAGGATTAAATACACTAAGCTTGCAAAACTAATCTATACCAGGTGAAGCTCTGACCCCAGGTATGAATGGCTGTAAGCCCATTATACTACATGGTCTGATCCAATTTCATACTACTTTAAGCTTTAAAATACAAAATACTCCTAGTGTCATATCAAATATCTTAATAGTATTTGTGGAATTTTACATGTTTAACTTATAAGCAAAAAAAAAAAACCCCAATAACTTAGTAGTTACTTTCTACAATATTATTTTTAAAAATTATAAACAAAGTCAATCTTCATTAATGCCCAAGTGAGAACCCTCGCCCCCACAAAGTCATAGCACAACTTACAAGTCCTTGTAACAGATGCAAATGCAATTTGTAAATCTGCAATAAAGCTACTAAAAAGAGCCCAGCTAAGAAAAGAACAGTTATTGTAACAATTACATATCATACCTAACCTGAACTCCAGGCAAAATCAGCTTGGAGACAGAACTATCAGTCCCATTAGCAGAGGACAGAAGTGGAGCTGCAGCTAGAGCAGTACTCACCTGCTCAAGTCACTTTTCCCATGGTGATGATAGTGATCAGGGTGGCTAAGGTGATAATGCTCCTGTCCACTCCACCTCTGGGGTGCTCTTTTCCAAAATCCATCCTGCGACTGGCGTACATTTCTGTCTGATCGGTCAAAGCGGTTCATATTGTCACACTCCACTAGGCAGATTAAAAAGCAACAAACTATAAATATGTGCACACTCTATAAAAAGTTAACTACTTACGGCCTGATAATTAAATGCTGCTGAAAATATTTTTTTTAATTCTAAAAGCACCAGCCATGTACGCTAACTAATCACAAAATAAAGTTTTCCAAAGGAAGCCAATTCTTACAGTGAAAACTGAACTTTATATATCCAAACTGAAGTAACTTAAAATACTTCTGTTTCAGCCACTTAAGTGAACAATTAACTGTCAGACTGTTTTAAAACAAGGAAAAAGTTCCCTGAAATCAACATTATGCATTTCAAATACAAGCAATTAGGACAGGAAAATGTAGATCTTAAAAAGAGCATAGGATTCATTCTTAGAAATGAGTGCAATTAAGTTTCTCACTGTCAAGAAGCACAAATTAACCTTTCATCACAGACGATCATGTTTTTAAATAAAGCTCACACTTAAACAGTAAGCTGCTCCAATCTGCCCGCAACAAAGCTGGTTCAGAAAGACTGAAATGCTACCGAACACAAAGCCAGTGCTTTGTAACAACAAATAGTCCACTCCTGAAATCCAAATACCACAAAAACTCGACAAGAATCCCTGAAGCACCCAAGCTTCTTCACTCACCCAAATGCTCTGCTCTCACATCTCTGAGCACTCTCTGAGAAAGCTACTTGGTACAAGGGAGACATTGTGTTGCCGGCTGCCTACTCAGACATAGTTGCACACAAGGCGCTGCTGAAACAGGCCTTCCTTCCTGCTCCACTCCCAGCCCTCCCTGTGGGAAGCAAGCCCAGCCTGCCCTGTGACTCCATCTTCGCTCAGTGCTTACATAGCTACTGAGTTAGGACTGTTACTAAAAATACTCCTAAACACTAACCCAAGCCATGGAACAGGAAGGGCTTCTCCAGTCCAAAGACTACATGAAAAGGTTCAGAATTTCTTGCGATTAAAAACTTTACATATCAATATAATCGTGGTTTTAAAAAAAATGACTTATTTTTAAGTGGCTGCTATCCAAAAAACTTGGATGTGAAATTTGCTAATTGTTTCATTTCAGAGAAGAAGAAAAGGCTTCCTGTTTGTAAAAGGATGGTGCGGAAATAACAAAAGCAAACCACCAAGCATACTTTTGTAAGAACACGAAGTTCTCTCTGCATTCATGAGGACTCAGTGAGTACTAACGTAATCTTCTTTCATTGTACAGACAGCTTTTAAAAGAAGTCTAACCTATGAAATTACTCCCAATAACTTCGTGCTATTTTATTGTTAAAATCGAGTGGAATTTAAGTTCAGTTATGGATAATACATGGTATGATGACCACTATATTGAAAAATATCAGTAGAAATGAGGTGGCAAAGGAAACATTTTTAAGTAAATCTTGATATTTAAAGCTAATTTCAATCTAGTCCCTTTGGTAACATCAACAAACTCACAGTTGCATTACAGTCACAGGTTCACTGAGTCCCACAGAGTATCTCCACCTAGCAGTTCAGCAGTTCTACACAGCTGGTATTAACACACATCTACTTTTAAACATTTTTTCCTTAATTTAGGAAAAGAAATTTCCAGTGCCAAAGGGATCAATGTTGCTATTAGAATGACCTGATATATTCTCAGAATAAAAATCAGCACAGTGCAAAGAGTAGGCTAGATGCAAGCAAGCCAGGTGAGCAAGCTAAATATTAGCGCAGTGACAGAGGACAAGCTACTGTGCAGCTTTGGTGAACAGACCCAAATCTGGGCTCTTTACTGAAGCTTGAATTCATTCCTAACGGCAGGTTAGCAGGAGAGACAAACATCTGCACCACTACAAAAGATTAAGTTCAAGTTTAAACCTGATTTCTACAGACGATCGTGACTCTCCCAGGAGTGCTGTTCCTATACTCCTTCCTCAGGCATCCGTCCATCAAGCACATCTTTACAAACTTTGGAATCTAGCTAAGATGTTAATATTGAAATAATAGTGGTAGTTACCTAGGCAAGATTAAGGTATTCCTTGACAAAATAAAAATAGAAAATAGAAAAGAAAATGGAAAGCAACAAAATCACAAGAGATAGATCAATAAAAATCTGGTTCTATGGCCTAACAAGAGCAGTGCATAAGGCTTCCCTGGGAAAATAAGTTGCCCACAGTGTGTAATGCTGCAAGGTTGATGGCGCATGTGGCAAAGCTCCAAGGATGACTAAAAGCAATCCTAACGCTGTCTCAACTCAAAACTGTGAAAGCCAAGATGCTGGTCCAGAAACACCCTTCAGCCAGACCAACCCGACTATGACCCGACACCACTTCTGGAGAGTAGTCTCCTTCCTTCCGAAGGTCTCTAGTTCCAACGGCAAAAAGCAGCACACTTTAGTTCTAGCACTGTAAAGACAGATAGCAGCAGAGTTCTAACCCACTGGAGAGGGAAAGAACCTAACTAGCTAACAGGTGTGTGCTGTGAGGATGCCTGTCATGCTGGGTGCCATTTTTCCTTGTTTGATAAGGAATAAAACACCATACGCAATGTATCCTAGATGTTTTTCTCTTACATTACAGCTTTCAAGTCCTAAGAGAGATAATGATGAGTAATTTTTATATAAGTAATTGGATGAGAGATAGTATGATATTATGACTGACAAAGCCTAAGGTGGCTTTACATTATCAAGAAAGTTTTCAACTGTAATTAAATGTTAAAAAAGAAAAAAATCATGTAGGTAAAAAAAAAAATAATAAACTGAATTACTCAACACAGTACTGGCACAGGAAGATAAATTGCTAGAAAAAAAAAACACAAGTAACTGGAAGCAATCAAGAATAAGATGAGCTTCATGTATCTCAATACAAAGTGTAGCAAAAATGTGGCCTTATGAATTAAAACATGAGTTTAATTTAGTCAGCAATTAAACTTTGTGTGAGATTCAGGAAATGGTTAGAAAAACATCTTACACACCTTACAAAGTCTAAAGTCTAAACAGAATGGCTAAAATGATTAACAGTCCAGCGAGAAGGTATTCACTAGGTCAATCCACTAACCTGAGGATTATACCCTGATGTGCCAAATGCCAGGTGTGTTTGTGGGCGATGGCTGGCCATTAAAATTTCCTAAACAAGAGGAAAAGGCAACACAGCTGTGTTTCTGGCATACCAGAAATATTGAGAAACACCCTACAAGAGAAAGAGGCACTGTACACCAGGAAGGACTAATTGCAAATATCCAATAGCCTTCCAAAAGAAATTCAAATTGCAAAACTGTTTCCTTATGAAATTCCTTGTCTGCGAATTCAGGTCAAGGTTAAAAAAAAAAAAAGAAAGAACAGCTTGCAAAATTAAAACAATCTGTCACTAAGTACAAGGCTTCCAACTCACAACTCAAGTTTAAATGTTTCATGATTCCTCTTCCACGCCTCTGATTTCCCTCTGAAAGTTTTACCTCTCCCTCTGACCTGCTGCCATTTTAAATAAGACAAAAACCTCTTAAGTGTGATATCTGGTAAAGCTAAACATTTTCAGAACAGGGAAAACTGAATACAATCTGTTCTCAGCTCAGAGGACATGGCTAAATAATTTGAAAGGTTCAAATGGCATTGGGAAGAATCCCCAGGGAAATCTAGAATAGCTCTTAGGAATCATAATCTACTGCTCGCAGATCTGTATCAACTAGTTTATAATTAAAAGACACTATATGCAAAAATATAAAAATGCAAAACAGTGCAAAGAATGTGACAGTGGTTTATGAGACTAGCATGGGAGGCAGGCTTGGTGGTGTATATCTTTAATCCCAGTACTCGGGAAGCACAGGCAGGCGAATCTCAGTGAGTTCAAGGTGATCCTAGTCTATATAGCAAGTTACAGGACAAGCAAGCCTACACAGTTAGATCCTATCTCAAAAAAAAAAAAAAAATCAAATAAAAACCTACAATGAAGTGCAAAAGACAGTATAGAAAAGGATTTTCTGATTAAGTCTTTCCTATCTATGAACACAGACTGAGCTCTGATTCAGGCCTACAAGGAAGAAGGGGAGAAGTGACAGCTAAATTCACTGCACCCATCAGGGTCAGATGAACATCACCAGAAAGCATTCACAAGATTCTAAAACAAATGTTACCCCATCTTTCTCCCTCTCTATGAAAACCTTCCATAAAAAAGGGTAGAGGAGACCACCAGAGTACCAAAGCCTGAAGATCTGGGATGAACCAAAGAAAAAAGCAGAGTGGGGCTCAGCGGGAACTAATAGATGCTCTACTTCAGTCACACAGAGGATAGACACCAGGATCTCTGAACACCCTTGACTTTCAAAAGACATTAGAAAAACAACTACCAACAAGACAGAAAAAGAAAGTCCAACTGGGCAATAATAAAGTGTTCTTAGGGAGTAGAGCACTTGACTGCCTGTCTTACTTTAGACTCTACATAAGCTTCTCCAAAAACCAAAAGGTGCCTTGCAAATGTTTCATTATTTTTAAAAAATCACTTATTGTAATAAACTCCAAATAAAAACATCACACAGCTAGATAAAGGAGCCACTCAAACACACTTGCCCAGTTCCAAACTCCATGCATCTTAATGAACTTCTATGCAGTTAGAATAGCCATTCTGAAGTCATGGAGCTTCACTTGGGGTTTTTTCAATTTCACCATCAATTACATTCTTTTGTGTATTTATCCAACATAAAATAAGAAAAAACTACAACAGAGTTAAAATTAGAAAAACATTTGGTTTTATATCTTCTTTGATGATGCATACGTCCTTTGACCTGCATTCTGTTCTTCCTTATCACCTAACACTGTCTTCACCCCTTCTCAGTCTCCTTTACAAGAAAACATGTTATATTATAGCACTTACAGCTGTAAGCATGCAAATGTTTTACTTACTGACCAGCAAGTGATTGAATGTTCTATTAACATATATAAACTATAACATTATTCTAAGCTTCATAACTGTTACACACCCAGCCAAGGGTCAACAAAACACTCAGAAGTGGATATCCCCAAATCCTAGACTGTAAATGTTCAACAATCATTAGACTAAAACACATTCTTCTCTCCCCTGAATAGCACATAGAAAAAGACCTGCACACAAATGCAATTATCAGATAATTCAAATCCTCATGACTTCTTTAAAATCATCAAGAAAGGGACTAGAGAGATGGCTCAGTGGAAAAATTTATTACTCTGTGAGCAAGAGGCCCAGAGTTTAGAACCCTCACATACCCACACAAAAAAAAAGGGGTTGGCAATGGGTGCCTAAAACCCCCAGCACAAGGTGGGTGAAGACTAGAAGATCCTGGTGTTCAATGGCCAGCCAGTCTAGGCAAAAATGGGGAATATCTATTGTATATTATTATTTTAAGGTGTGTTACATTTGTTTATGCTCTGGAACATTTGTTTAATGATACAAATACGTGTTGTATTCCTTTAGGTTGCATTTGTTTTAACTCTATGAAGCTGTGATTCTTTGCCTGTTTAAAGCACCTGATGGTCTACTAAAGCACTGAACGGTCAACAGCAAGGCAGGAGAAAGGATAGCTGGGGCTGGCAGGCAGAGAGAATAAATAGAAGAAGAAATCTGTGAGGAAAAGAAGAAAGAGAAAGAGAACAAGGAGAGGAGGATGCTAGGGGCCAGCCACACAGCTACACAGCCAGACACAGAGTAAGAAGGAAAGAAAAGGTATACAGAAATAGAGAAAGGTAAAAGTCTAGAGGCAAAAGGTAGATGGGATAATTTAAAGTTAAGAAAAGCTGGCTAGAAACAAGCTAAGACAAGTCCAGGCATTTATAATTCAGAATAAGCCTCATGTGTAATTTATTTGTGAGCTGGGTGGCAGGCCCCACAAAAAAGCAAAAACAACCAACAACAAACATCAGATTCACAGAAGAGACTGTCTCAAACAATAAGGAGATGAAGAACAGAGGAACACAGCCATTATCAACCTCTGGCTGTTGCACTGATACAGACAAGAAAGTACACCCCCACAAACATGCACACACACACACACACACACACACACACACACACACACACACACGCCACTCAATAAACTTTTTTTAAAAGCAAGGAGCACCTATTCTTAATGAGGTCATAGTAACCTGTACCCAGATCAAATCCAAATGGAAGGTCTCAATGATTTGCTCATCTTCTTGGGCACAAACGCCAATAACACTGGCAGAATTAGTGAAGCTGAAACACCTGAGGGTTCAGCGAACCAATACAATCTCTTAAACTTTTATAACATCTTCAAATAGAAAAAGCTAATAAGCATTAAAGCCAACAGTCAACAAGTTAAAAGATTCCTAACCTACCAGCACTTCCACATTCTTATCCCCCTGTCAAAGAGACCTAAAAAGTATGTTCTACCTTCCTATAATAGGAAACATAAGTACTACTTTATTTTGGTGCCTACGGAGAGAACTAATTTTAGGTCCACACTCTGCTTTCTTTGGTGTCTTTTCGTTCAAAACAGCCACTATTTGTTTTTTTTTCTCCTAGGAAAAAATCTGTACCATATATGCAATGTTAATGGAGTGCACCTACTTCTCCTGAGAATGCAACGAAGACCGCAAAGATCTGCAGTTTCTCTGAGATTCCACATCTGTCTAACATGAGGGTACCTAGGCTGTGCTCTAGAAATGAGATAAGTTCTAAGACTGTTTGATTTGTGCTTCCTGTATCAGCTCAGAAAGGGAATACAATTTCCAAAGAGAATTTGTAGTTACCCTATTAAAGTGACATGCACTACCTATGCTGTGACTTATTCCAAGGAGGGAAATCCCTCACCCTTCACTATTTATTTTATGAAAAATAATAAATAAAAAGCAATCAAGCATGTCCCATCTCCTGCACCATTAGGTCTTGTTATTGCATCTCAGTCATTTTCAGTCGTTTACATTTTATTTCCCCTTTGTGCTACAGAAGGGTGTTGAACTTGGTCTCCCAGGTCACTAATGCAGACTTCACAACAGCAACTGTGATTTCCACCACCTACTGAACTGCTATACTGTTGTGGGGAATCCTGTTCTATAGCTCGAGAAAGCAGTGGCTCTCTAAGCAATCTCGTTATAATCTCCCTGCACTACCCTAAGCTGGCTGTTCAGCTTTCTGTTCCTCCTGGGTGTTGGCTACAATTTTTGTTTCTCGGGACTGGAATTCCATTCTGGTTGCAGAAGTATCCCAAGTGCCAGAAGCACCACAGAAAAGTCTAACAGTCTGTACTTCTATGATAACAATGGGAAGCACCCTTAGTGCCTCACTTTAACAGATTTATAAATCCAAGCTCAGTCATGCCTACAGAGCTTCTCACTGAGTGGTTTGTTTCAGTGAGGTAGGCTAGGTCATAACACTTGCTGTCATTAAAAGAACATGGTTTAAATGAGTGTCCTGATTCTAAGTCATAAGATGTGAGTTTCTGCTCTCCTTGTTATTCTTCTATGATTTATCAGAAGACAAACCAGCCCAAAGTAGTGTAGATTCTAAAATACTGAAACCCTCAGTAATTTATACAGTCTCATAGGCTATGCCATCCCAGGTAATTCAAGATTCATGAATCAGGGAAATAAACACATGCTCATTCTTTAGACTGTAACAGAGCACCTTTTCAGGAATGGGAAAAGAAAAGAGTCCAACCAAGGACAATATGACTGATGTAGTGGTGAGAGGAAAGTGCACTTAGAACAAATACACTCAGCTTCTGAAGAATCCTCCCACTGTTCCAGTACCATGGACAAAAAAGAATTCAACCTTCCTTTGTACTTTCTCTGGGGAAGCCTGAGACACCACACAAATGTGTACTAATGGGAATCCTCAGATCTCTGGAGCCATTCTTTCCAGAACAGCAGGACTCCTAGTTCAACCCCACTCCCAAGCGTGTCTTGGGCTCTCTTACTAGTTCCTAATACAGAAACCCTGTATATGCTATAACACCAGAGACAAGAGAACCCAAGAGTCCTTTTGTATATAGATTGTCTAAAACCCTACGTTGCTGGTTACTGGGATACAGAGAGAAAGAAAGACTGAAATTAGGAGTCAAAGCGTAGTATAATTCATTCAGAAGGTGAGTACTTTCCCAGAACTGACCTTAAAATAGTTATCAAATTAATACATTATACTGTTTTACAAAACAAATGTTTCTCTAAATATATTTCTTTTGGAATTCAAAATGAAGAAGTGAGGAAAAACTAGGCATACACACACACACATTTAGATAAAGGTATACAATGTTGCTGAATCATATAGAATTATACTTAAGACCCACATAATCAGGTTTTAAATGTGTAACTTACAAGTAAGCCTATCTTACACCAACAGAGACTGATTCTCAGTCTAAGGTCTCAGCTGAGATGAAGAAGTCTTGACCTACCAATTACCAAACTGCTGATAACCCAGCCGCTCACACACATGCATCTGGAGACTTATCGATGTTAACTTACCATTTTCAAGAGGTGTGTCCTCCGGCAAATCCACATCCAGCATAAGGTCATCATCCTCAAGGTCACACGATTCAAGATTATTCAGAATATCCTGTGAATAAAAGCAATAAAAACACTATGACCTGACCCAAGAGATACATACATAATCATTCGTTTTGAAAGTATCATCATATAATAACTTGGATTTATTCAACATTTGTACTGTAAGAATAAAATAGTTCTAATTTTAAAAGTATTTTTAAAAACTCATCTGTACTTATACTTTGAATTTTGGATCCCTCCACCCAGAAAGGGGACTAGCAGATGCTAATGATATAAAGGGGGAAACAAGAGAAATAAAGAAGGATCTTTAACTCAGGAGAGGAAAGGGAGGATAATACAGAAGAATCGAGAAGAAGGAGGGGGAAATAACAGTAAGCATGTTTAAAAAAAGACATAGGAAATTATTATTTTATATTTACCTAAAATTATATATAGTACATATAAGTCTATACATACATTATGTAGTTTACATGGAGTTACACCACTTGGAGTAATTAGTATTCCCCACAAGAGCCATATCTAACAAAAACCCCAGTGCAGGTGTGAGAAACTGGAGTTGTTGGTCAAGAGTCTAAGAGACTCCCAGAACAGCACAGGCTATTGTTGTTTCCCTTGGTGACCTCCAAAAGTTGAAAGTAAATCCCTACTGCTGAAGACACCATGTATTTTGGACATAGAACTCAAAGGATTCGAGCCAGGACTAACCCGAAAGCCTCTTTCCTGAGGACTAGGTATTACAGTACAAGGTGATATGTGACCTGCTAGAGGAGGAAAACAGGCAGTGGTCCTACCCAGCTGTGAAGCCTTTGAACCACAGCGATGCCCAGCAGGGCAGGCTAAGGGACAGTTGTGGCACTCATATCTTGGTGGTAACCACAAGCCATCTAATTGGACTGAAGGCTCACTTAACAGGAGGGAAATCATGCCTGGTATTGTGACCACCTACACATACCTACTGAGATTACAGATTACAGGAGAACTACTACTGCAGCCACTTTCCTAAACCACTATCATTCTTAACTGCATTCTAAAAACTTACTCTTTTTTTTGTTTTGTTCTGTTTGTTTGTTTTATTTTTTCAAGATGGGGTTTCTCTGTATAGCCCTAGCTGTCCTACAACTCACTCTATAGACCAGGCTGGCCTCAAACTCAGATGAACCTGCCTCTGCCTCCTGAATGCTGGGATTAAAGGCATGCACCACCACCACCTGGCCTAAATATTTAATCTTACGCCCACAGATAAGTATAGTCCACCTCTCATCAAAACAGCTTCTTTTTGCAGCAGGAACCCATTACCAAAAGCCACAATTAGTCAAAAATGCAGAAAACAACTAACGGTAGGCACCAACCCGAAGTAATACCCTACAACACAACTTTTACAACTAAGGCAAACTAGATGGCACTGGGTGTCTCAAGCCAAAAATGACAATTACGGCCAGAGCAACAAATCAAAGCCAATAGAACATGGTATTCTAAGTCCAGAGCAGGACCAAATGAGGTATACCCAACCAACAAAAGCAGTACTATCAAAAACTGCTAAAATGGTATCTAGCTTTCAGTACTAACAACACTACATGTCACAAAAGTGAGAGTCCTGAGTCAATCCCCAGGACCCACATTGTAAAAGCAGAGAACCAACTCCTACTATCAGTCCTCTGACCTACACAAGTGTACTGTGGTATATAAATACACACATGCACACACGTGCACACACACTCAGTAAATAAATGTGAAAAAAGTTTACAACTAGGCTATAATTGCTTTATCTGGGTTTTTTTTTTAATCCATTTTGTTTTATATTGAAAAAGGTTTTTTAAATTAAAGACAGGGTATGAGCCTGATATAATGAAAAAGTGATAGAATAATTATAAACTTGAGGATTTACTAAAGCCTACAAGACTATAAAAATGAACAGTCATATTAGCAGGGGGAGAAGGAAGTATCAACATTTAATGCTTAGCAACAAATCATTACATATGCTATTTCTGGAATCTGTCTTGTTTTATGGAAAGATGCCCTGTGAAATGAGAGGAGTCTAGGACGGAATATAGGAGTGGATCATATATGCACAGATGTCTACATATTTAAAAGTATACTTATATCTGGGAGGGAATAAATAAACCATTCTATGAGATCATATGTGCTTATACTCTTTATTCTGATGTTTCTGTGGTACAAACATATTGCTTTTACTAGACTTATTTAATAGTAGAACTCCATATTAAATAAAAGTGTTCCTCTTAGTGACAGTATCATGTAAACCCTGGAATGCACATTACCACAAGGTGTATTACCAATAGTTTCACAATTAAAATGCCAATACATATGAAGAACTATTCTACAACAGGGTAAAGAAGAATAAAGAATTCTCAAGAACTGAGAATTTGTTATTTGAATCAAAGAAATGTTATTGTGGCTATAATACAGAAAATAGATATCACTGGGGGCTGAAAAAACAATGCTGTAGCCACTGTAGAATCCATAGGACATACACTAGCCTGCTACTGCTAGTGAGAATAAAGCAGTTCTGATACACATTGTAGAGGGAAAACATCAAAGTTACATGAGAAGCAAAGTTCATGGGTGACTTTGAGCTTAAAAACTAGATACTTGAAAACTGATGTCTACTAACTAACACATAAAAAGTGAAGAACCAGCTGGACAGTGGTGACACATGCCTTTAATTACATCACTTGGGAGGCAGAGGTAGTTGGATCTCCCGGTCTACAGAACAAGTTCCAGATAGCCAGGGCTACATTGAGAAACCCTGTGTCAAAAACAACAAAAAGTAAAGAACAATCCTGATGAAAGTAGAAAAAAGAAAAATGAAACAATGACTGACACCCTCCCACCCCCGCCCCCCAAAAAGGAAGGTCAGCTCTAGTAGGAAAATAGAGAATTAATACATAGTTTTAGAACTCAATAACTCTGATGTGCCTATTCCATCCTTGAGAAGATGTGTCTCTAGCAGACAACTGAAAATAGAGGTCTGTTAGGCAAAAACACTTACAGCATGGGAGTCATCAAAAATAAATGAAAGCTGGAAGATGTTGAATAATGATTCTGTCTCAGAATTATGCCAGCAGTATTACTGGGCCTTACTACTGTAAGGGTCCAGGAAAAAGACAAGAAAAAGAAGAAAACAAAAATGAAGTACAATTTGTCCTCAGCATTATCTGCCCAGGGCGAGAACTACATTACTACAGAAAGACAGGAAGCCATGTGCATGGAGAGGGGCTGAGTGGGAGAGTTTCTGCCAGTGTCTCTGCTGCAGTCCCTCTGCCTGCACTTGGAGTCAACATCTACCTGCTCCTGCTTTATTATCTCCACTTTTTAGTTATGTGCATATCTGTGTGCTAAAGAGTGTCTGGTGCATGAGTGGTTCAAGTCTTTCTCCTGTGAACTGACTTTGCACATCTGTCAAAGTAGACTGTCTTTGTATGTGTCCTTGTATTTTCTGATGTCGTCATCATGTTCCAATGAATTGTGAGACCACTCTTTTGGCTAATACTGCCCTGACTGCCAGATCTTTAAAATGAGGGAGTGTAATTCTTGCAACTCTGGTCAACCTTTTCAAACTATGTAGTTTGTTTTCCCTTATGTATAAACTGGGTCTGTCTCTATTCACAAAAGGTTTTGGATGGTATTACTCTAAATGTACACATCACTTAAGTGTAGAATAATGTCACCATTACATGGCATCTCACACCCCACCAACACCACATAACTCTTTCTTATTTAACTCTCATTTCTTTCTTCAGCTCTACTCTTCAGATACCCTGCATACATCCCATCTGATGTACACTTAGGTATCTTCTGAGATACTGTTTTTATTAATTCTAGTTCCTAACTAGCTATCAATTCATAGAACTTTCATTTTGTTTTGCTTTCTTTTGTTTTGTAGACAGGCTCTCACTTTATAGACCGGACCTGTGAAGTGTGGGAATTACAAGCATAAGGAGAAAGAAAAATTTTATATATTTGCCTTGTACTCAAAAAAATTACAAATATTACATTCAAAGATCCCATGAGATATGGTCTATAAACCATGATGTCATCTGAAAATAAAAAGTATAATTGTTTCTCTGTACCTTATTGTATTGGCCAAACTTTTGTTCAACATGCATAAGCTGCATAAGCCATTTCCACCAAAGCAGACTGTGGTGATATTTTAATTGTGCTGAAATGTGATTTTATTTGTATGGTAATAAATAAAGTTTGCCTGGAGATCAGAGGTCACATAGCCAGTCACACAGCCATAAACAAGAGTCAGGTGGTGGTAGCCCACACCATTAATCTGATCACATGGCAGGCAGAGTCTCTGTGTGGTGAAAGACATAGCCAAGCGTGGTGACATGAGCGTTTAATCCTAGAACCAACCATAGAGACCTGGAGGTCTGTAAAGACAGGCAGTGACGAGGAAGTCATGTGGCTGGGCTTAGAGCCAATGAGAAGGCAGAACAGGAAGGCAATAAAAACACAAGTTAGACAGGAAGAAACTCTCTCTGGGGAAGCGACGGCGGCGAGGTGGAAAGATAAGGTAGTTGTGGCTCTTCGCTAGTTCTCTGATCTCTTTGGCTATTACCTCTGTATTTGGCTCTGTGTTTCTTATTTAATAAGATTATTTAAAAATTCATCTACATTAGACTACATACATTAATACAACAGCAATAGTCTCCTAAGAGTATACTGCCTGATGAAATTGCAGCCATCTTAGTTTATTTAACTACACTCTATGGCATTCACAAAACAACAAAATCCCCTAACAATATATTTCTCAGGAGAGCTCCCCATCAGTAAGCAATAACTCTATGTTGAGTAAGAGTAATGAAGGTCCATTCATTCATTGTCAAATTCACATGTTCTTGATATAACAGGTACTTAAAAACTGCTTTTGCTGAAAACCACTTACTTCTTAATTAGGCCCACAAGGTAACTAAAAGCAGAATGAAAGCCTGGCATTTCTACCCCCAATTTGCATCTGTCTGCCTTATTTTAAGGCAGACTGCTCCTTGGCTCTACACAGGCATGACAATCACTCAAGGACAG